AAAAACAACAGTAAGAATTAACAAAACCAAAAGCTTGTTGTTTGAAAAGGTCAGCAAAATTGGCAAACCAGTAGCTAGACTAACCAAGAAGAGAGAAAAGATTCAAATAACTAAAGTCAGAAATAAAAGTGGAGGTCATTGCTACTGACCTTACAGAAATGAAAGAGAGTATAAGAGAATACTATGAACAATTGTAAACCAACAAATTAAATAATCTAGATAAAATGGACGGATTTCTAGAAACAAGCTACAAACACCGATTCAAGAAGAAATAGAAAATCTGAACGTAACTTTAACAATGAAAAACACTGAATTAGTAACAAAAACCTCCCAACAATGAAAAGTCTAGGGCCAGATGGATTCATTAGTGAGTTCTGCCAAACATTTAAAGAATTAACCCTAGTCCTTCTCACACTTTTCCAAAAATATTGAAAAGGAGGAAACACTTTCTAACTTACTCTGGTGAGGCCAATATTACCCTGATACCAGAAACCAGGCAAAGATACCGTAGGAAAATAAACTATAGACCAATATCCTTTATGAACATAGAGGCAAAAATATTCACCCAAAAATGCTATCAAATTGAATCTAGCAGTGTATTAAAATAATTATATACCATGGCTAAGTGAGATTTATCTCAGGAATGCAAGGGTGATTCAACACAGGAAAATCAGTCAATGTAATACACTACATTAATAGAATGAAAAAAAACCACAATCATCAGTTGACATAGAAGAACATTTGACACAATCCAACACCCTCTCATGATAAAAAAAAAATTCAGGAAACTAGGAGTAGAAGGGAACTTCTTCAACACGATAAAGGGCATTTATGCGCAGTGGCCGGCGCAGTGGCTCAAGCCTATAATCCCAACACTTCAGGAGGCCGAGGTAAGAGGATTGCCTGAGACTATGTGTTCAATACCAACCTGGACAACTTGACGAAAACTCATCTCTACAATAAATAAAAAAATTAGCCGGGCGTGATGAAGCGTGCCTATAGTTCTAGCTGCTTGGAAGGCCGAGGCAGGAGGATTGCCTAAGCCCAGCAGGTCGAGGCTGCGGTGGCTGGGAGCATAATAGTGGCTTCCAGTCTGGGTGACAAAATGAAACTCCAACTCAAAAAAATAAAAAGAAAGAAAGAAAATCCACAGCACACATGTGAAAGACTGAAAACTTTCCCCATAAGATTAGGAAGAAGATAATGCTCTGCTTCTACCATTGCTATTCTACATTGTACTGGAAGTTTTAGGCAAGAAAAAAAAAAGGATTCAAATTGGAAAGGAAGAAATAAAACTACTACTGTTCACAGAACATGTGGTTTAATATATAGAAAATCACAAAGATGCCTCAAAAAAAAAAAAAAAAGCAACTACTAGAGCTAATGAACAAGTGTAGCAGAGTTGCAGGGTACAAGGTCAACTCACACAAATAAATTGTGTTACTATATACCAACAATGAATAATCCAAAAAAAAGGAAATTAGGAAAACGATTCCATTTATAACATCCAAAAGAATAAAATACTTGGAAACAAATTTAGCCAAGAAGTTGAAAGATTTGTACACTGAAAACTACAAAATACTTCTGAAAGAAATCAAAGACCTATATAAATGAAAAGAAATTCCATGTTTACGTAGAAGACATGATGTAGTTAAGATGGCAGTACTCTCCAAAGTGAGGTGTGGATTTAATGCGATCCCTATCAAAATTTCAATGATCTTTTGTAGAATGGAAAAGCTGATCCTCAAATTCATATGAAATTGCAAGGGGGGTCTAAATAGCCAAAAGAATATCGAAAAAAGAAAAGCAAAGTTAAAGGAATCACACTTTGGGGGGGGGTTGGAGTCTCACTCCGTCGCCCAGACTGGAGTGCAGTGGCATGCTCCTGGCCACTGAAGCCTCGACCTGCTGGGCTCTGGCGATCCTTCTGCCTCAGTCTTCCAAGTAGCCAGAACTACAGGTGCGCAGTACCATGCCTGGCTAATTTTTAAAAAATTTATTGTAGAGATGAGGTCTCACCAAGTTGCTGGGGCGGGTCTCGAACCCGCGGGCTCAGGCAATCCACTCACCTCAGCCTCCCAAAGGTGCGGGATTGCAGTCTGAGCCACCGAGTCCAGTTGACTCACACTTTTAAATTTCCAAACATACCACAAAAGTATAGTAATCAAAACTGTGGTATTACCATAAGAATGAACATATAGACCAATGGAATAAAATTGGAAGTCCAGAAATAAACTTATACATCTATGGCCAGTTGATTTTTTTTTTTTTTTTTTAGTTGGAGTCTCACTCTATTACCCAGACTGGAGCGCAGTGGATGCTCCTGGCCGCTGCAGCCTCGACCTGCTGGGCTCTGGCAATCCTTTCGCCTCAGCCTTCCAAGTAGCTGGAACTACAGGTGTGTGCTACCATGCCCGGCTAATTTTTTTTTTAAATTTATTGTAGAGATGAGGTCTCGCCAAGTTGCCTAGGCGGCAGTCCACTCACCTCAGCCTCCCAAAGTGCTGGGATTACAGGCTGAGCCACCGAGCCTGGCTGGCCAGTTGATTTTTAAGAAGGATGTCAAAACTGTTCAATGGAGAAAAAATAGTTTCTTCAATAAATGGTGCTAGAATCACTGGATATTCACATGCAGAAGAATGAAGTTAGACCCCCTACCTCACACCATATAAAAATATTAACTCAAAATGGATTCATGACCTAAATATAAGAGGTAAACTATAAAACTCTTAGAAGAAGATATAGAATAAATTTTCATGACCTTTTTTTTGGTGATAGATTCTTAAATAGACTAAAATCATTAGTGACAATATAAAAAATAGATAAATTGTACTTCACCAAAATTAAAAGCATTTGTGCATCAAAGGACAGTGTCAAAAAGTGAAAAGAGAAAGGGAGAAAATATTTCCAAAACATGTATGTGTCTGACAAGGGTCTAGAATATAAAGATTCAACAAAAAAAAAGACAACCCAGGCTGTGTGCAGTGACTCATGCCTATAATCCCAACACTTTGGGAGACTGAGGTGAGAGGATTGCCTGAGCCCACGGGTTCGAGACCAGCCTGGCAACTTGGTGAGACCTCATCTCTACAGTAAATGAAAAAATTAGCCTGGTGTGGTGGCACATGCCTATAGTTCCAGCTACTTGGAAGACCGAGGCAGATTACCTGAGTCCAGCAGGTTGAGACTGCGGTGGCCATGAGCGTACCACTGCACTCCAGCCTGGGTGACAGAGTGAGATTCCAACTCACACACACAAAAAAAGACAACATGATTTAAAAATGGTCAGTGAACTTGAACAGACATTTCTCCAAAGAAGATATACAAATTGCCAAGAAGCACATGAAAAGGTGATCACTCTCTTTGGTCATTAGGGATATGTATATCTAAACCACAATGAGATACCACTTCACTCCCGTGAGGATGACTGTTAAAAAAGAAAAAGAAGCTGGGCCTGGTGACTTACACCTGTAATCCCAACACTTTGAAAGGCCGAGGTGAGCAGATTGCCTGAGGCCAAGGTTCGAGACCATCCCGGGCAACTTTGCGAGACCTCTTCTCTACAATACATAAAAATATTAGCTTGGGCTGGGCTTGGTGGCTCAGCCTGTAATACTGCGCCTTTGGGAGGCTGAGGTGAGTGGATTGCCTGAGCCCGTGGGTTGGAGACCCGCCTGGGCAGTGAGACCTCTTCTCTACAATAAATCAAAAAATCAGCCGGGCGTGGTAGCACATGCCTGTAATTCCGGCTACTTGGAAGGCTGAGGCGGAAGGATCGCCGGAGCCCAGCGGGTCAAGGCTGTGGTGGCCAGGAGCGGCCACTGCACTCCAGTCTGGGCGACAGAGTGAGACTCCAACTCAAAAAAAATATATCTATATATATCTATATCTATATCTATCTATATATATATATATACATATATATATATATTAGCTGGACATGGTGGCGCATGCTTGTGGTTTCGGCTACTTGAAAGGCTGAGGTGGAAGGATCTCCTGAGGCTAGCAGGTGGAGACCATGGTGGCCATGAGCATGTCACTGCACTCCAATCTGGGTGACAGACTCTGACTCAAAAAAAAATTTTTTTTATATGACTTGAATCATCGAATTAGTTATTTTAGATCTAACTTCTAGTTCATCAGAAATACAAGGGATTAGGAAGTAAGTTAAATGATCTTATACAGAAGCAATCAGACAAGTCCAGAATGTGGGACATGACATTCTGTAAGACAACTAGCCTGTTCTTTTTAAAAAGTTACTATGAAAAAAGGAAGGGGGAGCACTATTCTAGATGAGAAGAGACTTTAGAGACAACAAAATGCAGTGCATGGTACATTTGTGGATCCTGCTATAAAAGACATATGGAGAATAATTGGGGAAATTTGAATATAGACTGGGTATTGGATGATATTAGGAAATTACTCTTAATTTTATTCAACTTGTTAATGGTGTGTGACTATGTAGGAAAAAATTCTTATATTTTATAGATCATTTTGAAGTATTTAGTGGTGAATGTTTCATAATGTCTTTTATTTTAATGAATTTTATCATAAAGAAATAGAAGAAACAAGTATGACCAAATATTAACTTGTTAAATCTAGGAGACGAGTACATGGACATTGATTTTATTTGTCTTTCAACTACTTTTTGAAGAATATATTTTGAAAAATTTATTTACTTCCTTAGTTATTATTTAGACACAAAGTCTCACTATGTTGCCTAGGCTGGTTGTGAACCCCTGGGCTCAAGGGATCTGCTTCAGTCTCTCAAAGTGCTAGGATTACCAGCATGAGCTACCACACCTGGCTTAAAAAATATTTTGAAAATATTCATAATATAAAGTTTAAAAAATGTAAAATGGTTTGGGTGAAGAGACCCTGGGAAATGCTACTTCTCAACCAAGGAGAGGTAAGCTGACTTTGGCTTATGTTGAGAACCTGTGGCCCTTGGATTCTTCCTCATATGTCTTTTTTTCTTCTGCCCCACCCCATCTATCCAGCCCTCTTTGACTCTATGCACAGCAACCAGGCCTCAGATAGCCCATTTTCCCCACCACGTACTCTTCATTCACCTCCCCTGCAACTCCGGCAGCGCTCTGAGAAGCCCCCTTGGTGTAAGTAATCCTTTTGGAACTGCCTAGACAAAAGCCCAGAGAGATGGAGGAATTGGTGAATGAGGGACTTGTCACATGAGGGAAGAGAAGACAAGGGTTGAAAGACCAGGAATATGCATTTGGGAAAGCAGTCTCATCTGCCATTTCCAAGATGATGGGAAGATCTGTTTATTCTCTCTCTTCACCTCTGTCCTCCATACTCCCTCTATCACATTGAACATCATTTCCAATATTAGAGAGTTAGTTTTAATTTGTAGAGGGCTCTTCCCCAAAGGGTCCTCCATTCTCTCCAGATCCCCATTTGATCTCTGCAGCTTTCTCCAGTAAAAATGACTAGGAGGCAACCTAGACATTTAGAAAAGTTGGAAGCAGAAAATTAGTACAGTATCTGCTACTTATTTTACATGTCCTTTCTCTCAAGTCATCTGTTCTCAGTTGTTAGTTCAAGTTGAGGTATCACTTTTTCCTATCTCTTGTTTATTACTCTGGCCTATCACAAATTATTCCTGGTAACAGCATGAGCAGTGGAGTCACGGAGCTCTTAGGGTGATTGTAGGGAGGGGAAGTCATCAAAGGTAGAGATATGGACTAGGGCACTGATGAGGGCAAATCCTTTCTTATCATCCTGCCTCCAGGAAATAAGTAAAACCAAGCATGACTTTCATTATTTTACTTGGATAGGACTGAAGCAAAGATTCATATTTTAGCATTAGGGTTAACAGTTGTAGAATTTTGCTCTTCTCCTGGCACCCTGTATGTGGAAGAAACTGTCTTCCCTGACACCAAGAATCTATCCCCTGAATTGCAGGTTATCCTACACTCGCCTTGCCATTGCTCCTTTTACCTCTCTTGGAGTGTGTATGGGTTCTGTGCCCCTGGAAATCTTATCCTTCTCCCTCTTCTGTTTCTGTCTGACCTTTTTGATTAGTCTGAATCAGACCACTAGTTGGGTAATAAGGCTAACTCTCTACTTGGGTAAAGCTCAGCTTACATCTTTTCTTTTTCTTTTTTCCATCCAGTGTCAGGCCTTTGATTCAGTATCAGGCATGTAGCCCCATTGGTAAACATCTTCTTTAGGGTCTGTCTGCACCAGAAATAGGTTCCATATCTCTTAAAGTCTTGTTGATCCCAAACCATGTTCCTCTTTTTTTCTGCTTGAAGCACTCCTCCTTTTATCCTTTTGAAAAGAGAGATAACTGCTATACCTTAAACTCCATAACTGATTGAACCGTTGCAGACTTTTTCCAACTTTTTCCTTTTTTTTTTTTAATGACCATATGTTCAGGTGTCCCCTGTTTCTGAATCTGTAATTATTAATACCATGGTGCTTTAGTATATAGTTAAAATACTATCTATATAAGATATTTACAAAGAGAAAAGTAGGTTATTCCCTTCTAGAGGTCAATGAAGAAGTAGAGGTTGGGATAGGAATCATCTCAGAGTGTAAGTAAAGACTCTGAGGTCTTTATTGTACTACCCTCAGGATCTAGGGAATTAGTTTGTATGTTTTCAATGTATATAATGTGCACAACCTTGTAACATTGTCTATCCCAAGACTTAATTTTGGATCCATGAATGGGTTTCAGGATAGAGTCCATGAGCCTCAGAAATCATATGTAAAGATTGGTGTAAATATTCATGTGTTCATTTTTCCTGAAAGATAGACTGTGACTTTCATTAGAGCCTCAAAGGGGCCAGTGACCCCCAGAAAGGTTAATTAAGAACTTCTGCCATGTAGAGTTTCCACGGCATTCTTCCTTTTTGGGTAAATCATTTTCTCCCCCTATTGTTCTGATTTAGAAGGTTTTTCTGTATTCACTCTTGCTTATCTCTTGGACTATAAGTATTGATAACCTCTGCCTCAGAAATACATGGATTTTCTTGTTTTTTTGAGTTGGAGTCTCACTCTGTTGCTAGAGTGCAGTGGCATATACTCATGGCCACCACAGCCTTGACCTGCTGGAATCAGGCGATCTTCCACCTTAACCTTCCAAGTAGCTGGAACTACAGGCGTGTGCCACCACACCTGGCTATCATTTTTTCATTTATTGTAGAGACAAGGTCTTGCCATGTTGCCCAGACTGGTCTCTAACTCCTGGGCTCAGACAGTCCTCTTGCCTTGGCCTCTCAGAGTGCTGGAATTACAGGTATAAGCCACTGAGCCCAGCCTACAGTGATTGTTTTAAGGAATGATTCTTAACTGAAGTATACAACAGATTCCACTGGAAATGTTTGAACAAACTTATATTGCCCTCATCCTGCTCCTCTCAACTGCACCTTTAGACTAGACCTATAGAATTAGAATCTCTAGAGCTGGAACCTGGAAATTTGTATTTTAAAAAATTTTTACAATGTTGATGTGTAACCCTAATTATGAACCACTAGGCTAAAGCATTCATATACTTCCAAAGTAGGGATGAGGGACCATGGGAATTTGGAGTTGGGTTGGGGTGTATTTGAGAAAGAATCAGATGAAGTAGGCCTCAGCACTCTCTCCTAAAGTCTTAGATATACTTTAGTGTTACTCTCATACATTGGGGCAGGTAACAATTCCTGATATAGGCAAACTTAGGAGTCTCTGCTTCCCTTAGGAAGAAGCCAGACCCTCTTTCCTCAAGTAGCAAGGCCACTCATTCTAGCATGTAAACTATATGAACAGGGTAGAGCCTACTCTTCCAGTTTGTCTGACTTGGTCTTCTGACTTTGCTTTACAGACAGCAGTGGCCCTTCCAGCACCGTGTCCAGTGCTGGTCCTTCTTCTCCTACTACAGTGAATGGTAACTCCCATTTTGGCTTCAGTGATCAACCCTCTCCAAATTCACATGTGACTGAAGAATGTCAAGGTCTCCGACTGCTCCAGCAGATTCCTGGGAATGGAGCACAAGAGCTTGCCATAGAAAGGGAGCAAGAGATTTTTGAACCAAACCAAACCCCACAGGTGCCGCCTGTGGAAACCAACCAGCCATGCCAGGAGGTCCCTGACATCAGCCAGCCATGTCAGGAGAACCATGACAATGGTAACCAAACATGCCAGGAAGTCCCTCAGATCAGTCAGCCATGCCAGATGGCCAGCCAATTGTGTCAGAAAGTCTCTGAGGATATTTGCCAACTTTGTCAGGAAAATCTTGAGGAGGTCAGCCAGCCATGCCAGGAGTTCTCTGTGGAGGTTGGCAGGCTGGCCCAGGAGGCATCTGCAATCAGTCTTTTGTCTCAGGACAACCCTGAGGTTGATAAACCATCCCAAGAATTCCTTGGAGAGTTTGGTCTGCAGGCCCAAGAGGTTCCTGAGGAGGTAAATCCGCAGTCCAGGGTGATCCCTGAGGTGACTGACCAGTTGCCTGGAGAGGATGTTCCTCAAGCCCAGCATCTGTCTATTGATCCAGCCCCTCAGAGCCAGCCTCTAGCCCATGACCAGCACTCACCCCTTCCACCAGCAACATGTAATTAATTTTCTCATTGGTGATGTCACACTGTACCAGCCATTTGAGCCAGCAATCTTTTTTGTTGGCTAATTCACTGGCCACCTCTCACCAGAGGTGTCTGGGGAAGCAGTTCTCTTGGTATGAAGCATATCTGTACCAGAGCTGTGCCTGAGGAGAAGCCAATTTCAGGTTCAAAGCAGCATTGGCTCTTCACTTAGCCATTAGACTTGAATAGTATTTCCTTGGGACGGGCTGGTCTGTCATTACCCAGCCTACTCTGAACACCATAGGAAATCACAGATTGTTAAAGGAAATGCCACTTAACTGCTGAAGACGCCATCTGGGCACAGTAAATACAAAAGGGGGAACTCTAGTGTCTTTGCTTTTCTGGGGAAATATTCACAACTTCTCAAGGTACCCTTAGACCATATGTACATTCAAGGAGACTCTTGTTTTTGCTGTCACTCCTCAGGTGGGCCCAGGATGACCATCTGAGATGTCTGGAAAATAGAGTCCCCTTCTCAAGCACCTGTCATGGCCACTAATCTTTAGACTGGACTTTTAAGTGTTTCCATATCATCCCAAGTGCCCCCTCTGTCTCAGTCCTGTTGCTCTGGACAACAGCTCTAGGGAAAAATAGGTATTATATTGGTGTGCAAGTTTCAGAGTAACTATTTAAAATGCTCTAGAGGATTCTTGGCCAGTCTATGAAGCTGAGTCTCCCTTTGTTGTGGGACTGTTTGGCTTAGGGGATCTTGTAGTGGAGAGAATCAGGTTCTATTTTAAGCAATCAGCAGAGATCAGTATTGTACAGGTATGAGCAAAGATTTAATAAATATATATATATATATATATATATTTCTTTAGTTGTGCCAGGGATAGACTGGCCAAAGACCAAACACTCCAAAGTCCCCCCAAAAGTTTGTCTTTATATCATTGTGTCGTAGGGCCAGGTGTGATTATGACGCTTTTCCCAAAGATCTGGGGATGGGAATGGGGGTGGATGGGAGGGATAATGCAGTTATTGGACTGGGGAACCAGAACATTATGAGTGCTCAATAAATATGAAATATTGAAAATGCTGGTGGTGATGATGATGTCCTTGTGAATTCAAGAATGAATATTACTGTGAGTCAGTCATATCTGTGGCCAAATTAATCTGAATCTGTCAAAAACCATTATAGTTGAGCAGGAATGGGCTATAAAAATAGAGATCAACATCCCAGGAGGTCCCTATAGTTGTCAGTTTACCATCCCAAAATGTCTTTAAAAGTAGAGTTTTGGATGGGGTTCTGGAAAGCGCTTCTATCTCTGTGAAGCATCAGAAGGTACATGCCTTTTCACCAAATCCTTGGAATCACTCTCTTAATTTTTTTTTTTTTTTGAGTTGGAGTCTCACTCTGTTACCCAGATTGGAGTGCAGTGGCACACTCCCGGCCACCGCAGCCTCGACCTGCTGGGCTCCGGCAATCCTTCCGCCTCAGCCTTCCAAGTAGCTGGAACTACAGGCACGTGCTACAATGCCCGGCTAATTTTTACAATGCCCGACTTATTGTAGAGATGAGGTCTTGCCAAGTTGCCCAGGCGGGTCTCGAACCCGCGGGCTCAGGCAATCCACTCGCCTCAGCCTCCCAAAGTGCGGGATTACAGGCTGAGCCACCGAGCCCGGCCTCTCTTAATTTTTTACTCTGATGATTCAGAGTGAGCATGAAGAGGAATTGCTATACAGGGCCTATGCCCTCTTTCTCTGCATCCCTAAATATACACATTCATAATCTGGCCATTCCTGACATGCCTAGGACTATAAAGTTTTCACTGGAGGAGGAAAATCTAACTTTTTATCCCATGGAAATCCTGACTACACAGGGAGAGGTAGTTCCAACCTCAGTAGGCTCTCAATATCTTAGGATCTCCCAACTCTTTACTTCTCTTTCCCCTATCAGGGGGTTACCCTGGTTATTTGGTTCTTAGCTCTTGACCCCATGGAATCCAGATCTGCTTCCCAGGAGGTCCTCTGCCCACCTTCCCTCCCCTAAACCAAAAATATGTTCATACTATAGGCTCCTATTCCCCATACTCAAGCATTCTCACTCACCTTCAGAATTTATGCTGGCTCCCCCATGTCTTTCTCCCTTTACCCACCCTGTTTTCTGGCTTCCCTGGGTCCTAGAATTTCCGATATCTAGAAGCTGGCATCTTCCAAGATATGACAATGCTGATTGAAGCAGAGAGGTGGAAACCAGAGCCTAGCAAGTAAGCAATGTGTGGAGTCAGAAAAAAATCTAAGCAGCAGTACACCATCTGCAATGAACTTGATTTATTGTTAGAGCTGGAGGCGGCTCCCTTACAGCAGCTGGGAACTATAGCAGGAAAGTGTGGGGAGGAGCAGAGCACAGCAGCACGGGAAGGGTGGAGCTAGGAAGAACACAAGGTGGGCTCATTTTAGTTTCCCAGTCGTTTGGCAGAGAAGGCGAGCCCAGATGATGATCAGCAGTCTTGGTTTTTCAGTCCAGCAGTAGTCTGGCAGGGCTGCTCACTGGCTTACTCAGGGCAAAATCCTCTCCTGGGGTGGCATTTCAGCCTGTTTTCATTTCACTGTGTTCAGGAGTTAAGCTATAGCTCAGCTTCTTCTCTGTTTCCTTCCTCCCTCTCATTTTCCCCAAGTTCTCTGGCCTGGCCTCCACCCCCAGATCCTCTGTCCAAGAGTTTGGGTTTGAAGAGGCAGCCAGTGTTCCCATTTCAGCTGCAGGATGGCATAGTGGAATGTTGAGGGAGTCACACATGGCTGGGGTGTCATATGTTGGGATGTCAGGCAGTGGCTTATTTTTAACCCATTACACACCAGGCCACAGCAGATGACCACATGCAGAGAAGCCAAGCAGGGAATGAGAAGGGATTGGGATAGTTGGAATGGGGTGAGTAAAAACTTCAAAGAATCAGGGAGTTTGAAAGAATTCTGGGATTGGGCCTGAGCTCTCCTTGCCCTTTTGTGCTGCCCAGGAGGGCCGGTCTGGACACAGCCCTGGGATGTGAATGGTATGAAGCAAGGGCTGGGGCGATAAGCTCCTTTCTCTTCTCATCAGTCTGTTGGTCTAAAGAGCTTCAAGTTTTGGACTGAGACATTCAGATTCTGAGGGAAGCAGTAGGAAAGTGTAGCAGTGGTGTACTGCCAAGCTTCTGCTAGAACTCAGACCCTGGTGGGTGAGGGGATGGGAGATGGAGGAAAGGGTGCAGCTCTGGGCACCTCACTGACAGTATCCTGACCCCAGGTCACATAAATTACTATTGGGAATCCTTCATGGGATGCTAAATAAATAGATTGAGATAAAGAGGTCCCTGGGGTTGGGGATATAATCTCCCTCTATGAGGGAGGAGTTTGCTCTCTGAGACCCATCCTCAGTCCCCATAAAATACCAGCATTCAACAGTGCTAGGAGAGGGTATCACTCAAGGGTTCTCAGGCATCAGATTTGTCCTAATTTGTACCCTCCCCTATCCTATCCCTGTTACCTTTGGTTTTGAAACCCCTCTCAGGAATGGATGAGGGGGAGGGTCAACCCCTCCCATTTAGCCCAGCCCAAGTCTCCATAACATGACATCTGCCCTCCCCCCCTTCCCTGCCGGCTCCCTTCTCCCTCAACCCCAAAGGACTCAGCAGTAGCCATTCTCTAAAGGAGCTGGGGGAGTGGATCCTTGGGGAAGGGAGGGTGGCTCTTTCAGAACTCAATCTTGCAGGCTGGGAAGGACTCGTCCTGCATGACCACAGTGCTGCTGCTAGCCAGGACCAGGACATTCAGTTGCTGCTGCTGCTCATGAGTCTGCTGGTACCACTCACGAGTCACCTCCGTGTCATGAGTAGGGATCAGAGTCACCTAGGAGGAAGACAAGACATGCCTGATGTGAGAATATGAAGGTAGGGTAGGTGAGGGGGAAGGGGCACCTGATGGTCTCAGAAGCTGCCCTGCTGCCCATAGAAAAGACCCAGTCATTTTATGAACAGGGTCTGTGTTCCACTATTGCCTCTGAGTGAGCTTTGACCAGACTACCTCTTTGGCATCCCTTGCTGCTCACCTGAAGATTCTCCCCCCACTGGGCCTTGCCCTCCAGCAGGGCATCCAGGACAGCCCGGCTTGGCTCGCCATTGGCAGGGTCATTCCCACTGACCACATAGTAGGATGCACGCACTCGACGGAAGAAGTCAAGATCAGCAGTCTTGCCACTGCAATGGTTCGGGATATAGGCGAGGTCCACATATACAGGGGCGCCAGAGCCACCCTTGGAACCTACAGCCACTGTAGAGGAAAAGCAGAACACTTCTGATAACCTTCCTCTTCTTTCCCATTCCTGGAGCCTTTGACCAGTCCACACCCAGCCCCAACCCGCACTCTTTCCCACTTTTCATGATATACTTACTCTGTCCTGCCTTGAGTCCATTGACTAGGCCTTTGGACATGGGGCTGTATCCATCCTTTTCCTCTGCTGGGATGACCTGGCTTGGAGTGCTGCGTGGTCGGGGTGGGGCCCGGGATGCTCGATCTGCAGGCCCTTTCCCAGGAGTGGGTGAGCGCTTTCCCCGAAGATCCAGCCGCCTTGCAGGGGATGCTGGCTTGGCCCTGCCTGGGGCCTTGCGCCCTACTCGCCCCTGCATCTTTTCCTTCTCCCGTAGCCTCTCTACCCTCCCAGACTCTGAGCTGAGCCCCTCGGGGTCAGCCATGCACACATCAGGGCGGGGAGGGGAAGGGCGAGGATCTGGCTGGGGTATAGGGGGTGGGTCATGGCCAGGCCTGGGATGATGAGTACCACTGACCCCCCCAGCTTTGTCCACAGGTAGGAAGTCCCCATCTTCATCTGAGTCAAGGGCTGCCTCAGCTGTGATGGATGGACACTCCTCAGTTTCTGGTGGGACATCAGAATCTGACTGTGAGGAGCCTGAGTCACTGGCTGAAGTGGGGGGTGTCTCATCAGCCACAGGGCATGGGCCTCCTGTGGTTCCTGGTGCCCCTGCACGGCGCCGTCCCCCTCTTCCTACCAGCCGAGCTTCCTCAGTGGAGAGGTCACTGTCATCCGTGGATGGGGGCAGAGGTGGATTCAGGAAAGAGGGGGAGAGCTCTCCATGGTGGGGCCGGGGCTCAGTGGCACATCCCTGGGGCCCAGCCTCAACCTCAGGAGACACACTGCTGGGTCGGCCACCAGAGCTTCCTCCAGGACACAGTGGCTGCTCTGGGGAGAGCAGTGTGTCAGGCCGGGAGCTCCTCTCAGCTCCCTCAGGCCAGGCCCCACAATCCCAGGCAGGACAGGCCTCAGTTTCTTCTTTCTCAGCCTTGGCTGGGGCAGGTCCTGGGGGATTGGGGCTGGTTTCAGTTGGGCCATTGGCTGCACAGTCCCCAGGGGGACCCTGGAAGGGGCTTGGCTTCTTGATGGCTGCCCCTGAGCACTCCAGGCGGCAGGGGAGGGTGCCACCATCCAGGTCTCCAGGCAGGCTTGGAGCCGGAGCTAGGCCAAAGTCCAGTGAAGCTGAGGCTGCTGGGCTTGGAGGGGTGAGGTCCCAGAGGCTGTGGGCAGTTGGTCCCATTCCTGGGTCCAGCTCTCCAGACTCCTGTTCTGCAGCCTCGAGGCCTGGAGGGAAACGCTCAGCCACACTGGAAATCACAGGTGTGGTAGCCTCAGAGGAAGAGCCATCAGAGAGGGCTGGTGAAGCAGGTCGTGGCAGATTGGAGAGAAGAGGGACCCCAGGAGAGCTAGGCGATGGAAGCTGGGGCAGTGAGGAGTCCAGGCTGGGGGCCTTGGTCACTTCTAGGTACTCATCATGCCGGGCCCTGGTGGGCGGTCCTGGAGCCAAAGCCAGAGCCCGGTCCCCAGAGAAGGCAAGGGAGCCACAGGGCGCTGAGCGGGGTTCAGCCGGAGAGGGCAACTGTGGGGGAGCTGGCTGCAGTGAGGAGAAGCCAAAAGCTGAAGCAGGGAAGTCCAGACTGGGTCGGGCAGGACCCAGGTGTGAGTCTGAGGAAGGGCTGGTATATGCCTCAGTTTCAGGCCACAATGTGGGGGGCCCTGAAGGGATAGGGTGAGGGGGGCTTGGGGACTGGGCCTCTTTCTCTGGCTGTTCCCGAGCCCCCTTCTCCAGCTCCGAGTCACTAGTGCTGTCATCCCAGTGACCCCGGCCTAATTCCTTGGGGGATGGGGTCCTCCTTTCTGGGCTGCAGCTCAGGATGTTACCATTAAGAGGAGGGCTTGGGCCTTTGCTCAGGGGAATAGGAACACGGGGGGGAACTGCAGGTGGGGTGAGGCTGGGCTCCATACTCAGCCCTGGCTCAGGCTCCTGCCTAGGGGGTACACTGGGTCCTGCCAGGGCTGCATAGCTGAAGGCTGGAGTGTCAGATTGGAGGCTCTTAGGTGAGACAGGAGAGGAAAGCTCCTTCTCTGCAGATGCGTTTCGGCCAGCAGCCTCCTCCTTGGTTGAGAGGCGTGGGGGCCAATCTCCAGCTGCTCCAAGTGGAGGCTCCCTAGTGGGGCATGCAGGGCCAAGCCCAGTAAGCATCATCTGCTCATAGATGTCTGCGTACTGAAAGCTCCTCTCATCAGGATAGGGTGTGGGCTCTCTCTGCTCTGGCTCGACTTGCTCCGGCTCCCTGGTGTCACAGCTCTTGCTAGCCTCTGAGACCTTTGAGCTGTGGAGACTGCTGTCAGGATCCCCAGTCCCACCTTCTTCTTCCCTTTCCCCTTCAGCTTTGCGGTAGTCCTTCCCCAAGGGGGAGTATGGCCCACCTTCCAACTCAGCTGCCCCCTCCTGCACTGCAGCCACCACACTGTCATATTCAGCTGTGCCCCAGGAGAAGGGTGCAGGTGTGTGGGGCTCTGGGGCAGGCATGGGGGGAGATGGAGCTGGGGAGAGGGGTGCAGGTGGCAGGGGTCTGTCCTTGGGCACCCATGGTGGGATGTCAGCCAGCCATGAAGGGGTGGTGGGTTCACTCCTCATGGACGGCATGGACTTAGGCTCTGGGAGAGGGCTGTCTTGTCCTGGGGCTGAAGGAACCCTTTGTCCAACCATCTCAAGTGGGGAGGCTGGAGGAGAGATGATCTCAAAGGGAGAGCGGGTCAGTTTGTCCTCTTCCTCAGGTGGCAGTCCAACTGGTGACTCGGCGAGCCAGCGCTCCACCTCTAGTCCCTTCTGTGGCGAGGACTCCTGGAAATCCTTGAAGTCGGAGGCCCAGGGGCTCCGGGGTGAGTGTTCCGGTGGGGCCGTTTCTTGCTCATCATCTGGCCCCTCATCCAGAAATGTGCTCTCTCGTTCCTCGGCGTACCGTGGGCGGGCCTCCTGGCCATCCAGCTCATGAGGGAACCAGACCTTCCGCTCACAACTTAGCTCCCTCCAGTATGGGTCCTGTTCCAGGGCCACTTCCTCTCTGCCCCTCCAGTACCTGTTCTCCTGCTCAGATGTGTCCTCCCATGCCGGGGCAGGCACTTTCTGTTCTCCAACTGGCTCCCCTCTGGTTGGAGATGTTTCTCGCCACTCTTGGACCACATCCTGTTCCTTGCAGTACTTTTCCTGCTCTCTGGCCTTGCCCACCTGCACTGGGCTTTCTTCCAGTCCCAGAGCTTTGGTCTTCTCCAGAAGAGCTTCTAACTTCTGTTCCACAGCCTTGACTTTTTCTGGGGACTTTTCGTCTACAATTTTCTCCTTTGGTTTCCTGGTTTTATCCTCCTGTGATAGGCTCTCCTGCCCCTGAATTTTGTCCTTATCTTCCAGAGCCTTATCTTTCTGTTCTACGACCTCATTGTTTTGGTCCAGGGCTTCATCCTTCTGTCCTAAGGCCCAGTATTTTTGTTCCAAGGCCTGATCTTTCTTTTCTGAGGCCTTATCCTTCTGTTCCTGGGCCTGTTCTTTCTGTTCAGGGGCTTTGTCTGTCTGTTCTAGGGCTCTGCCCTTCAGTTCAGGGACCTTGTCTCCTGGAGCCTTGTCTTTATGCTCAAAGTCCCTCATACTTTGTTCTAAGTCATTGTCTTTTTCTTCCGAGATCTTATCCTTCTGTCCTGGGCCCTTTTCTTTTTGTTCTAAGTCTCTGTCTTTTGGTTCCAGGGCCTTGTCCTTTTGTTCTAGGGCTGTATCCTTTTGTTCTAAGTCTCTGTCTTTTTGTACTAAGTCTTTATCTTTTGGTTCCAGGGCCTTGTTCTTCTGTTCCAGAGCTGCGTCCTTTTGTTCTAACGCTTTGTCTTTCTCTCCTACGATCTTGTCCTTCTGTTCCAGGGCCTTGTCCTTTTGTTCTAAGTCTTTGTCTTTTGGTGCCAGGGCCTTGTCCTTCTGTTCTAGGGCAGTATCCTTTTGGTCTAAGTCTCTGCCCTTTTGTTCTAAAGCCTTATCCGGCTGTTGCATAGCCTTATTCTTTTCCTCCAGAGTCTCATCTTTTTGATGGATGGTTACATCCTTCTGCTCTACAGCAACATCCTTCTGCTTCAGAGTTTTGTCCTTCTGCTGTAGGACTTCATCCTTTGGCTCAGGTTCCTTCTTCTGCTCAGGGGTCCTGTCTTTCAACCCTGGAACTTTACCTTCCCAGTCCACGGCAAGGTCCTCCATGGCAGGGCTGGGCAAAGACTCAGGACTCTTGGTGAAGGAGCTATCAGGTGTCAGAATGGGTTCAGCAGGGCTTGTGGTCACTCCAGGTGAGTACTTCTCATCTCCTGACAGCATAGAGTGAGAGAAGTAGCTGGCAGGTAATTTTCTGTCGGGGCTCTCATCTGTGATATCTGTCTGCACAGAGTATCTAGGAGTCCCATCCATGGGAAGTGTCACCGTGGCTGCATGGGGCTCTGGAATAGACATGGGAGCTAGATGGCAAGAGGTGTCCTCAGTCTGCATCAGAGGCTCCCTTTCTTCCTTTCCAAGCTTTAGTTCCCCAAACTGCAGGGTGCCAAGGCTTTCTGGAGAGAGCTGCTTAGAAGAGAAATCCAGGGAGGTCTCCTTGCTGGGACTCTCTTCTGAGAGAGAAAGTGACTGGGTGTCTTCTGGAGATACCTCTGGCCAAAGGTCTTTGTGTAAGTACTTCTCTGTCAGGCCACAGGGAGACCTGGGGGTGTGTTCTTGGTTGGCAGTGTCTGGGGAGACCACACTGAGGACAGAGAGGGACTCTGCATCTTCAGGGGAGAGGCTTCGGTCAGGAAATTGGAGCACTTCATCTTTCTGAGGTTCACCAGATTCTTGAGGTGTCCTCAAACCTCTGGGAAGGACTTCCGCTCCCAGAATTGGGCCTGTTGGTTCTCCCGCTTCCATAGTCTCAAAGACTATTGCTTTGTCTTGTTCTGGCAACAGCTGAATGGTACAACCTGTGTGTCTCTCAACAACGCTGACAGGTGCTTCTTGGGCCTGGGGGCTCCTGGGAGAAGGCAACTTCCCCTCCTTCTCTAGTGTGCCCTCTTCAGGCCCTGGCTTGGTTGTCTCCTCTGCAGCATCTTCTTTGCCCACACTTGGGGTGCGCTTAGTATCTCCCCAGGAGTCTGATTCCTGAAAGTCTTGGGGCTCAGACTTTTCTTCCACTGGGGACTGATGAAAGGGTGTGTGGGTGGTACTGGGTGGACCAGATGGTGGAGGAGAGGCCATCTTCACTGTGCTGTCATCTGGGCTGAGGCACCGCTCCTCCACTTCTCCAAGGGTTGGGTCCCCTGGATGTGGGGTGTGACCACGGGCACCAAACATCAGGGTTCCATATTGACTGCAAACTTTCTCAGATACCTCTGCATCTCCCGTTTCCTCCTCTTCCTCTTCCATGGCCCTCTCTCCTGGAAAGCCTCTCCCTGCAGTCTCTCCTCTCTTCTCTGACTCTCCAGTCACAGAGAAGTCTTCACAGGGTGGTGATTTGAAGCCCTTGTCTTCTTCCAGCGAGGAGGTGGGTGAGATGGTACCAGCCGATGGTACATAGTCCAAGCCCTGAGTGGCTTCAGTGCGGGAGGAGGGGATGCTTGTGACTGTGTCAAGCAACAGGGAGCTCTTGCCTGTCTCTTCTGTCTGGGGAGCTGTGAGTGAGGCCACAGACTGGTCCTCAGCCACCGATGTGGCAAAGGAAGAAAGTTTGTCACACTCAGTGATTGAAGTGGCTGAGGACACATGTTCCTCTTCAGCCAAAGGAGCAGCCACTATGTTTGGGGGGTAGGTGAGTTCAGTCTCTGGTGCTCCATAACTTTTGCTGGAGGTGGCAGGACCAGCACTATCTGCAGGCTGACTGGCTTCAAAGGGGCCAGGACCTTCAGGCCCTGGGAGGTCATACGTACTTGTATGGAATCTGGGTGGAGCTGGGCGTTCCTCTGGCTCATCATGGATCTCCTCATCTGAGATGGTCTGCTCGGTCTCTGAGTAGCCAGGGATTGTCTCATCCTGGATGTAAGAGACATGCTCAGTGGCCCCTGCAGGTGTGGTGAGGCTGCTTAGAAATGACGAAGTCTCCCTCTCAGGGGCCTTGCCCTGGAGTCCCAGTTCTCGGCCCCCAAGAGCATCCCTACTTCTTGGAGTTACCTTCAAGGCTTCCTGCATATGTTTTGGGTAAAAACTCTCAGCCTTTGTCTCTTCCTCTTCCTCCTCATCTGAAGGGTGCACCTCTTCCATTTCTTCTAACTCAGCCTTTTCTATCACATCTTCCTTTACTTCAGGCTCACTTTCTTCTCTAGCTTCTGCTCTATCTGGGAGCCTCTCTGCTTCCCTCTGCTTCGTTTCCTCCCAGGTGTCTTTATCTTCCTCTGTTTCAGCCCCAGAGTCTGGGCCTCTGTCCTTGCTGCCTGGTTCCTCAGGAACATTTGGGACAACCTCCTTCTCCTTAGTGTGTTCTTTTTGTCCCAGTCCTGGAACAGAGGGTAGTATTCCCTGGATAGCTGTGCTTGGGGTTCCCTTCTCTGCAGTGTCTAGAGAGAGCACTTTCTCTCCTAGCCCCATGACCTTTTGTTCAGCTAGCAAACCCTTCTCCTCACGCTTCATCTCCTCAAAGTCCTGTGTGAGGTCCTCTGGTGAGGACAGGGCCAGTTCCCTGTGCCCACTGACTGTTGGGAGTGGTACAGTCCCCTTCTGAGCTGGGGGTGTTCGGGGTTCTGAAGATAGCTCCTTCTCCCCACGGGTAGCTCGGCTCCTGTCTATCTTGACTCTTCCAGGGGCCTTAGCTTTGTAGAGGGTCTTACGTACCTCAGGGGTAAATGGCTTTAGGTCTGGCTTGGAAATCTTCTTGACTTCGGGTCTGGTATCTTTCCTCTTCTCCTCTTTCTTGGCATCCTTCTTCTCCTCCTTCCTTCCTTCATCCTTCTTGAGCTCTTTCCTCTCCTTCTTGATCTCTTTTTTCTCCTTGTCTTTTTTTTCTTCCAGCTTTGATATCTTTTCTTTTAGGTGCTTCTTCCCCACCTTGTCTTTGATCAGCTTTCGCTTCTCTGCCTTCAGTGCCTCACTTGACTCTGTCCTCACCCTCTCAGGCTTGGCAGGCTTCTCTGGGGGCTTCTCAGATGACTCTTTTGCCTTCTTCTCTGTCTTGGCTAACTCCTTGGCCAGCTCTGAGCGGGCCTCCTTGGCTCCCTCTTCCACCACTTCCTCTCGTTTGGCCAGCTTGCTCACAGCTGTCTTGGTAGTGGCTTTGAGGCTCTCCTTGCTGTCAGCCCGCTGTTTGATTTTGCTGGGTTTGAGGTTGGCAGGCACAGCCCCAGCAGCTAGGTCCTTCTGTGTGGCCACAGGGTAACGCAGGAAGTCCAGGTGTCGAAGCTTTTCCAGGCCCTCTAAGATCTTGTTCTGGGGAGCATTTCCTGGAAAAAGCACACGCACAATCTTCTCAGTGGGGTTGGCTGGCAGCCAGACCACTAGAGCAGTGATAGAGGTGAGGTAGGGCACCGAGATCTCAGCCTCCTTCCCATTGGCCAGCACAATGCCTGTCTTGGCTTTACTGTTGCCTGCCCACTTTTGCATGAGGAACTGCATCTCCTTGCTGTCTTTGACAGGGTTGAGGACATACATGTCCAACCGGCCCACACCCATTTTGTGGAAGAGGGTCAGTGGTTCAATGGTGTTGCTGACCACACGGTACAGAGGCTCAGCCTGGATGCCCAGACGGTTTAAGTGCTGCAGAGTGAGGCAGGCCTCTTCAATGCTGCGCTTGGCCTTCCGGGAGGCATCAGGAAGCCGCAGCTTATCAGGCACATTGAAAAAGACAACTCCAAGCTCAGGAGAGATGAGGTTCTTCACCCAGTCACTGTAGCTGCTAGAGCCCTGGGACTGTTCCTCCTCTAGCTCTGCCACTTTGCGCTGTAGGAGTCCATTGATGCCTGGCAGGTTGTCTGCCCCAATGTGTGTGAGTAGCACCGAGTCAATGCGGTCCAGGTGCCGTACCAGCTTCCAAAAGCAGGACTTGCGATCAGAGCCACCATCCACCAGGATGTTGAAACCATTGACAGCAAAGAGGGCAGAGTCCCCACGACCACCTGGGAAGATATAGCAGCAAGGCTTGGAGAGCTTGAGGAAGCCCCCTGAGGTGGGGGGCTCCAGCAGGTCAAAGGGGGATGGCACGTCCACGGTCTCAGAGACATACTCGGAGAACTCGGCCACACCATCCATGGTGGGCAGTATGGGCTCAGGGTTCAGCCGGAGGTGCAGGGTCTCTTGGGAACTGGATAGCCCCAGGTGGCTCCAATCACCTTCCCCTAAGCAGGATACAGTGAGGAAGGCCTGGATCTCAGGGTCTCTGTTGCTGAGCAACTGGGCAATCTAGAAGAATGGGAAATAGGAGGCTGATTAGGTCTTCGGAATTGTCTTAGCCTGACTCACATTTGCTACTCTAATCCTCACCTCTCTCCGAGGTGAACTCCTACCTTTCTTTTTTTTTTGAGTCAGAGTCTCATTCTGTCACCCAGCTAGGAGTGGCATGTTCACAGCCACTGCAGCCTTGACCTACAGGACTCAGGTGATCCTTCTGCCTCAGCCTTTCAAGTAGCTGAAACCATAGGTATGCACCACCATGCCTGGCTAATTTTTTAATATATTGTAGAGACAAGGTCTTTCCATGTTGCTCAGGCTGGTCTCGAACCCCTGAGCTGCTGCAATCTCTTGCCTCTGCCTCCCAAAGTGTTGGGATTACAGGCATGAGCCACCATACCCAGCCAACTCCTATCTTTCTACCAGAATTTCCAATGGTTAACCAATATGAAACTTTCCCTTGTATTCCTCCCCACAACTCTAGTCTTGCCCTTTCTCCCAGTCACTCAGGCATGGAGCTTACCTCTGGGTTGTGAAGGACCTGGGCAAAGTTTTGGTAGGAGTAAGTGCCACTCTGTAGGATGAGGTCTCCCCCAGGCTCTAAACTTTGCCCACTCAAAATCAGTAGTTTGTGAACTGATGGGCTGCTAAGAAGATGGTGAACCTGGAATTTAAAAAGGGGAGTGGTCACAGATGTAGGAAATCCAAGGAAGAGTACTGAATGTCCTCTCAGTACTGCAAGGACATGCTCTCTGCTGGTGTCTCCCACAATACCTCCAGAGTGGGGCTGAGCATTATAAATCAGCTTAGATAGCAGACAGAAGAATTCTTGGCCTGATAGCAATAGCACTGGCAAGGGTGGTTACAGAACTTGCAGTAGGCCCTCTTGATAAGGCACAGGCCCTGACCTTACCTCAGAGCTGATGCTGTCTGCACTGGGGTTTACCAGGATGATGGTCTCTAGGCTCTCACTCTGGTGGCAGAGGGTCCTCTGGCCTGAGGGAGAGATGTAGGAATTTGTATTGACGAGAGTATGTATAGACTAAAAACGAAAGACACTGTGTGGGGCAAGGAGAGGAAAGAATGTACTATTAGAAAATGGGTCTTAGGGGTAAGAGGAGCCTGGCTATCCTTAGACCCTGCCACCTTGGATACTGCTGAGTAAGGTCCAGGAACTGGCTTCTCCAGCCTTTCCCTTTCAGGGTTGCCACCTCCCCTCTCCCACACTGGCTGTCTTTGCCCTCCCTTCATCTGCCACACCCTCTGCTGCCTATGCCCCCACCCCTTCCAGCTTCAGACTGCCCTGTTGACAAGAAGCTTTTGTCCCTATTGAGCGCTAAGCTCCTGGTGCTGCCTGGGGATAGGGGGCTCAGCTGGAGAGAGGGCTCCTGGGATGATGATGCTCAGTCAGCTTTCTCTTCACTAGCTTGCCTCTGCCTTGGGTTTTCCTGCCAGCAGAGTGTCTGGAAATCAGGAGGTGAGAACTTCGCAATTCTTCTTTCTAACCCCTGCATCCAGGGCCAGAATTCCTGGTCCAGAAGACTCAGAGAAGCCTCTGCTGTCTAAACCCTTGGGGTTTTGCAATTCAAAGAGTGGACACAGGGCCTACTCCCCAGAGGCCAAGCCTGCACTCACACATGCATGTAATCGTACTGTGTCCATGCCAAAGACTTCACAGCTCCATCTCTCACCTCATCTTCACATCCCCAGGCTCCAGAGAGGCCTAGTTCACTACCCCACAACCGATTCCTTGTGAACAGTTTCTCTTCTCGTTTGCCCATCTCCTATGGGCCTTCTGTTACAGAGAAGGAGAGTGAGGGGTTTGCAAAGAAGAGACACATAAAGGAGGAGGAAGTGTTTCACAGCCCAGGGAGAAAGATGAGCCATCCCCAAACTCCCTACCTTATTTCCCTTCTCCAGACTCACATGAAACACCAAGCAACGCAGCAAAGAAAGTAGCAGATCAGAGGGAAGATGCTGACGAAGAATGCTGCCAGCCTCTGCTTTTGCCCTTCCCACAACTCCTTCACATTTGCAGCACACAGTGGAATTAACCTCACAGAGAATCCAACAGATGGCCTGGGGAGTGGGCTGTCTTGAGGATACTGGTGGGAGGGCTCATAATATGTCCGCTAGACCCTCTTCTGTGACCCAGCTCTCTTCCCTTCCTGGGGCTCAGACAGTCTGGGCCCTGGAGCAAGAGGAGCCTGGAGCCAGAGCCTTTGTTAAAGGAAGAGCCGCGGTGCCAGGATCAGGCAGATCTGGCAGCACGGGCTGCACAGATGCAGCTGTGGGGGAAATGAACTATGTATGGATCGCATCAGAAGACCAAATCCCATAGAGGGTGGATTTGGCCCAAGAGGGAGTTCACTTGGGAACTGAGGGAACCTTTGAGGTAAGTTCAGAGGATGAGAGCCACTTCAGAGGCAGGCTGGGGTAGGGCTTAAGGCAGGTGATGGGTATCAAAGTCCGGGGAGCTGGAAGCCTTAAGCATTTCAGATTTAGAAGGGCAAGAGCTCTTCCCACACAAACAAGGCCACATACTTGAGACAGAAGGGTCAGAAAAGCAAATATCTAGTATAGACTGATTTGCTTTCTATCTACGACTCCCCTCTTCCTCCACAAGACTTCTCTGATTCCAGTTCCTGTCGTGGTATGAGACCCTGTCCCTAACTCTATCCCTGGGGAATGGTTCTGACTTGGAACTACAAGGTTAATATCCTGTGTCCCCTCTTTTTCAGGCCTGGGAGAAAGCCTGGTTTCTCTCCTCTGCTATCCCCAGCTCTCCCACTGAAGGGAACTGACTAGTTTTTCCTTTCTCTTTGGAGAGGACCATTTTGTGAGGCAGCGGCACATAGTGCTTGGCCAGTGCTGGAGTGGGGGGTGGGCTTCTCGTGTGGGGGCAGAGCAGGCAGGAGGGCAGGTGTCTCCGCAGTGAGGCAGAAGGGGGGGAGCCGCTCGGGCAGCTGCAGTATGCCGCAGTGTGTGAGTGTGTGTGAGTGTGCGCGCTGAGCTCAGGCTTCAGCTCCGCCCCCACCCCCCACCCCAGCATGACAAGTCATTTTCTTGGCTGCCTCTGCCTGGGGGGTGGGGATGGGGGGGACACAGGGAGGGAGAAGAAACTGGCTTCTCTGTCCAAGAGCCCCCATCTTGGGAAGAGAAGCAGACATGAGGTGGGGGTAGGGCTGAGGCTGGGAACCTGTGGGGTTGACGTGACTGGAAATGCAGGGTAGCCGCTGGGGAGGGAATGCTCTCAGTCTCTGGAGTGGCCTCATGGGGGCCAGAAAGGGGGCTTAGAGCCCAGTCCCAAGCTGGCTGCACAGAATAGGGTGGGGGGAGCCCACTGCAAACTGGCTGGTCTGTGAGGAGGCATGTGCAATGTCTCAATGACCCTTTCCTCTCTTCTTTTCCACAGTGTCCCCCACCTTCCCTTACTTGGCAAAAACTCGCTGCCCGGCTAACCCCCAGCATAGGAGCAGCTGAGCAATCCACCAGCTGACACCCAGGGACCCTCCCATTAAGCATATTACCATAGCATCCTTCTTTCTCTCAGCTTCTTCAGCCTCTGATCAAAAGCATAGCCCCCAGACTCCTTCAGCACCCTGGCTGCCAGGCAGAGCCAGTGGCACCACCCTCTGCTGCTGCTCCTAGGCTGATGTCTCTCACCCTGCCCAGCTGGAGAAAGGGACTGTCACAGCCCTGGCTGGCCTCTGTTCTGAGTCCAGGCTGCCCCATAGCCAGTAATGTCCATCGTCTCTCCATTCCCCCAGCCTGCCCACCCTGCTGGGCTAGTTCCAGACACATGAGATTAGGTACTAGCTCCCTTTCTGTGATCCCATCCCTTCTCCCTATCAGAGCGTAACTTCCCTCCCCCCAACCCTCATGCCAAGCCCTTTGGTTCGGTTCTTACCCTGGGATGTGGGAGGAAGCCTCTCATGGAGGTGGCAGCTCCGGCCTCAGCCGGCAGCTTCTGGGAAGAGTCTGCAGCAATTG